TGAGCTGAAGTTGGACGCTCAACAGACTGAGCCACGCGGGTGCCCCTCCAACTTACTTTCTTAATTCTGGTTCCAATTCTGGCTGTTCATTACAGGGTTCCCTGATGCAGTTTGAGATTTCCAAGCACCAAGGAGAAGGGACCCTGTGGGGTCCTGAACATGGGAGTGGCCCATTATAGCTCCCTTGCCTTCCTTGGCTTCCTCTGGACATAGGATGCCCATGCCCTTGGCCTCAGGACCCCTGCGTATGCTGTCCCCTGTCCCCTTTGCCTAGGACACTCTTTTCTTCCTCTTCCCCCGGAAGAGGTGCAGGCCCCTATGTATCTTCAGGCTCTGCTTCTGTGGCACACCTCTTCAGGCCACACTGGACACAGGGGCCTTGGGAGGGATGGGTGTGGCAGCCCCAGTGGGAACAGGTGCAAAGGGACTGAAAGTTTCTCGATCAGGAGGTTACCTTTGGTAGATGAGGGCAGAAGCACAAAGGTAATGTCAAATGTGATTACACTGGTGTTTAAATACATCTGGGGGAGATCTGGAAGTACGTAATCAAAAGCAACATCTGGAGTGACGCCAACAAACAGAAGGGCGACCCTGCTCACACACAGCAGCAGAGGTGCAGAGGAACCGCTGCCGTGACATGGCTGCGTGGAGACGCGGCCCCGGCTCCCACAGGCGCTGGGGGGGGGGGGGGGGGGGGGGAACCGCAGCACCAGGGCCTCCTGCCCGCCGAGGCAGACTCGGGACACGGCAAACCCAAAGGCTGACAACGTCCTGTAATTATTCTTTGGTGTCCGGGAGGAGCCAAGCTGTTAACGATTCGTTCTGTCCTCAGGCTTCGTGTTTAACTCAAGTATAGAATTTAGCTAATTAAAAAGTTCTGGAAAGTAAAAAAAATAAAAAAATAAAAAAATAATTTTTAACACAAATCTTTCATGGTCCCTTCTGGAAAGGAGTTATGTTGGCAGTCTGAGACAAGAAAGCGTGTGTTAGGCTACTTCCAAATTTATTCCATTCTCGTCCTCTTTGGTGTGGCACAGTAGCTGGTCCCTCAGAACCTTCCAGGTGCCTAACAAGCATGCCCTAAGAATTTCACCTGGTCCGAAGAGAGGCCTGGTTTTTGCACTAGGCTCCTGGGAGGTGAACTCTCAGCCCTTGAAATGTCCTGCCTGATGGGCTGCCTTTGTTTACCTGGGGTCCTCGGGCCCAGAGAGTCTAAGAATGCAATTTAGGGTAGTGGCGATGGGTCGTGTGGTGTCAGCTCAAACCACAGAGGGCCTGGAGCCTGAGGCCAGTCACATGGGTGGTCAGTCGTGTCTCTGTGAACAAGTTCCAATAAAAACTCTAGACGTTAAGGGTTCCTTGGCTGGCAGCGCCCTGCGTGTCTTGTCTCCTAATGCCGCCAGGAGAAGTCTGCTGTCAGCCACTCTCGGGGGAGAGGGTGGCTGGAAAGCCTGCACACAGAACTCTCTGGGACTCTGGCCCCATGTCAATCTTTGTCCTTTCACTGTAACAAACTGAAACCGTGAGTTTAACAGCTTTGAGAGTTCAGGGTCCGCCTAGAGAGTTGGCCAGCCTCAGGGTGGTCCTGGATCCCTGAGCTCTGCGGCTGGTGTCCGGGGTGAGGGTGGTCTCACTTCTCACCCAGTTGTCTCAACAGGGGGGAACCATACTGTTGTTTTCCCCAGGGTTTCAAACTCTGTGTTAATGAACATCAAAAACATCCATTAAACAGGTCAGCCTTTTACCCAAACATCATCTTTGAAAGTATTTGCGATGAGGGAACTTTTTCAGCAGGAAAATGAGACTATTTTCCCGAGTCTACGTGCCCTGCTTGATCTTCTGTGTGACCACAGCAAAGCAGCAGGCGGATGGACGTGCTCCAATCGCGAACGAAAGGTTTCTCAATGTCAGCACGGGGAGGATTCCTTTACCCACCATGTGCACCGTTTCACTCGCAACTCCGCCACGTCTCTTCCCAGTCCTGTGACGCCATCTGCTGCGGGAAGACGCAGGGTTAAATGTGAACCCCGCACCAAGGCCTCCACTGGGGCGCCCTGCCACGCGGGTATCAGGTCGACTGGGAGCGCAGCTCTGGGATTCCAGAGCTGGGGCCTTTCATCACACTGGATCCCGGAGTCCCCAGCAGGATCTCAGCCGCCTACAAGAGAACAGTCTCAACAAGGGATCTCTGAGCCCTCAGGGCCAGGTTTAGTGTAATGGCTGACTAATCACTCAATCTTGCGCGTGCAAGAAACACTCTTGCAGATGTGGAAAGACAACTGTTTGCAGCAGCCGGGGGAACCACTTCCTCTTTTCTCACATGATACACAACGAAGAATGATCCTCAGAAGGTCACAGGATGACTAAAAAAATGGACACGTTTTTGGCCGCTTCCAAGTATCTTTTTTTTTTTTCTTTTAAACCGAGGCGTGACACAATACAGGAAAGCGCACCTATCTTGAATGCGTAACGTTTTCACGTCTTGATGTAACCACTGTTCGATACCCATCACCATGGGTCAGCTTCTGAACGTCCCATAACTGGAAGCATACAGTAGGTACCGGTGTCTGGCTTCTTTCACTCAAACAAAATGACTAGAAGATTCTCCCAGGGAGTGTCAGACTGTCTGTCCGGTGGTTTTTGGAATTCTGCTCTTTGATTAGGCCACCACTGAGATAATTTTCCTACGGATGGACACCAGGCTGTTTTGTTTGAGGCGGTCACGATCCAGGCTGCTACGCACACGTGCTTGTATGTGTCTTTTGGTGACACGCGTGGCTCAACGATCTCTGGGTGAGAAGGTTTACGGCCAAAGCGCCGACCACCCCCGTAAGCGGCACGTGAGGTACAACTGCTCCACGTCCTTGCCAGCTCTTGACGCAGTTCTGGCCATTCCGGTAAGCCTACAGAAAGAAGCGCCTCTGGTTTTTCCGGGTGCTACGTTGACATTGTGCACTGATCCCGACCACCTTTTCACACGCTGACGGGTCATTGGGATGTCTTCTTCCAGGAGTCCGTCTGCGACTTTTGCCCATTTTAAGATTTCAGCCTGTGGGAGCATCCACTGACTTTGTGAGGGCGTCCTCGGATGAACCAATGTTCTTAATTTCAGTGAAGCCGAATTTATGAGTCTCCTACGGACAGCAGTGCCTGTGTCCGTTCAGGAAGTCTACGCCTACGTCGAGGCCAGGAAGATGTTCATCTGCGCCTTCCTCGAGAACTGTTTTACCTTTCACATTTACGTCTGGTATCCATTTCAAGTTAACATACGGGTAAAGTGTGGGGCAGGGTCAAAGTTCATCTTCTCCATTTGGATATCCAAAAGATCAGCAGGACTTTTTCAGAAGTACATCCTTGCCCCCTAACCTTCAAGGGTCTTCTTCATTTTGACAATTTTAAGACTCCCTCCCAAGAAGATCATTGGGAAGAAAACACCGGGGTCTATAATTTTCACTGGATTTTTGCACACTCCGTGTTTTATCGTGGGGCTGGATCCCACGACCCTGGGATCATGACCCGAGCCGAAATCAAGAGGTGGACACTCAACCAAATGAGTCCAGGTGACCCCTGCATATTCTGTATTTTAAATAATTGTGAGTCTTCTACGTTTTTTGTGTGGCATTTGCCTCAAACGTGAAGTCTGCAAATTAGCTCAGCATTTTCTTCTCAATACTGCAGCTATGTTTTGAGAATGAGTGGCTGAACTTCAATAGGCCTTTCTCAGCCATTTGTTCCTCTTAATAATAAAGGATTCTTTTTTATTTTTATTATTTATTTAAAGTTTATCTTACTTACTTTAAGGGAGAGCATGTGTGTGCACACCAGCAGGAGAGGGGCAGTGAGAGAGGGAGAGAGAGAATCTCAAGCAGGCTCCACGCTGACAGTGCAAAGCCCAATGCGGACCTTGAGCGCACGAAATGGGACATCATGACCTGAGCCAAAATCAAGAGTCGGACGCTTAACTGACAGAGCCACCCAGGAGCCCCTAAAAGATTCTTTTTTGAAAGGCAATTTGTATCTTTTGTTTGGGTATTATAATCATCACCCCCCAAAATTTCACACTTGGTAAGAGCCTCTCCAAATGATATGCTGACAGCTTACACCCTGACACTTTTCCCTCCTACAGATTACAGCTTATCCTTACTTTGCTTAATGACTGAGTGCCAAGTGTTACTATAAAGTCAAGCTGGACAACCTTCCCGTTACTGGAACAGCCGTACTGGCCGGTATGGACCAGAAAGGGGAGCAGAACAACCTGAGTCCTGAGCAAGGCGCAGGCCTCGCACCCGTAGCCACCTCTTGTCAGTCCACACGACCTGCCTTGAGCTGGCAGAATGTGCACCTGTTCCCTTGAAGGGCCTGGGAGGACGTTATTTTGCTATTTATATGGTACTTGTGATCCACAAATGGATCCGCCGCAGTCTCGAATCTGGTGTGTGTGTGTTCCTCGAGTGGAACCCGGTCTGTCTTCTCAACGTGCAGCTCACCCGTGACGGCCCAGACCAAGGGGGCCAGAACGAAAACCAGGCTTGCTGGTCACACAAGTGTGGGGAGACGGTGGAAAGTCTAGAGAAAGAAAGCTGCCTGTTCTGTGCTCTCGCCCCGCGGGCCTCCTCGCCACCGTCTGCCATCTGTGCGATCGGCGCCCATCACAGCACAGACCCCTGCCTCTCCACCTCGCTCACCCCTGGCCTCTTGAGGCCTCTCCACCGGCTCTCGCCTCTGTTGGAGCACTCATCCCAGACCTCCCTTCCTCAGGGCTGCCCTCAAATGTCACCTTCCCTGAAAAGAGCACCCTGTCTCTACCTCCCCACCACGCTCTCTCTTCCTGTCACCACAGCTGACACTGTGCGCTTCCCTCTTGCAGACAGTATGTTTCAGGAGGGCAGGGTCCCGGGACAAGGACAGGCAGCCAGTGCTCGTGGAGGGACTGACCCGACGACCGGCTGGGGGCGCCTCCGAGGACCCCCAACGCCCGCCTGCCATGCTCCCCGACTTACCTGTCCTTGTACTTGATCACGGCATCCACGATCTTCTTCATCTTCTTGGTGAGGTTGGGAGGGTTGGGGGAGAGCTTCTCGGCGGGTGGCCGCCCGCGCTTCTTCTGCTTCTTGCTGTCATCGTCCTTGTCGCGGCTGCGGGTGCTGGTGGTCGGGGTGGAGGAGCCGGCGTCGCCGTCCCGCTTGCGCTTCCGAGAGGATTTCTTCTGCCGGACCTCCTCTTCGATCTCCTCCAGCGTGCCCTCCTCGATGGCCTTCAGGGTCAATAGTGGTAAAATAGGACAGCCAGCACCGAGGTCGACAGGCAAAGGCTGCGGCGCAGACCCGCGGGGCACAGCTGGGTGGGACGCTCACAGGGGCTCTCGACGGGCCCCGGGGGACCAGGGCAGGCCTGTGTGCCTCCGTGCACCCCGGTGCCCGCCTGTCCTTAACAAACAGACAGTCGCATTTCTTTAGCAATTAGAGGCATATCCTCACTGAATGGAGACTGAAGACTTGAACCCTGGAATCCCTCCACCCAGTGACACTATTCATACTTCTGCACTAGACCCTCTGCATTTTTCTCAAAATCTGGCCAAACATACAGAACAGAAAACTGACCACTGTAACTATTTTTAAGCGTGCGGTTCACTGGCATCAGGTACATTCACGTTGCGTGCAGCCAGCGTTGCCAGCCGCCTTTGGGATGCTCCCGGCCCTTCCCACGAACACGTGCGGGACTGGGGACAGAGCTACAGTCACATCCACGTACCACAACGGGACTCATGTTTTTCCTTACTATATCCTGGGTGTATTTCCTGCCGTTTTTCTGCAATGTAATTTTGAATGTCTGCTTAGTATTCCATTGTACGACACACCCTCGTTTAAACATCCCCTGTTCTTGGGCATTTAGGTGGTTTCCGTTTGGGGGAGGGGTGCCAGTGTAACCAATGCCACGACTGACAGCTGTGTGGCTTGCACGTGGATTCGTGGAAGTGGAAGTGCTGAGCAGAAGAGGCTGTATCTGAACGATATTAATTTTCAAACAATACCAACTTCATACTTCTCAAAGGTAATAACCAACTTGCATGTTTTATCCCCGCAAATAAAGAAGTAAGAAGCCACGTTTCCAGGGGAGTCCAGAATCAGGAAAGGGAGTGGGGGCGGGACTCACGGGGATGTGCTGGTCGTCCCCTCACATGTGTCAGCTGTGACCATGAGCAGGACACAGGGCCATGAGCTGAGGACACAGCAGGGAAAAAAACCCCTCACAGAGGGGAGAGCGTAAGCAGACAAATACCTTGCAAGTGTGGCACAAAGCGTGTCGATTGCCAAGAAGGAGGGTGAGTGGTGCTCTGATGGTGGGGCAGACGTGCCCAGGTCGGGGGCCAAGGGTGCGCCTCAGAGGAGGTAGCACCAGGCTGAGATCTGAAGGGAGGGGGTGGGTAAGGCATCCAGGCCAAAGGAACGGCTGGAAGAGCACGTGGCAGGCAGGAGCCACTGCAAGGTTGGCACGGGGGAGGGCGTGTCCTGGGAGCCCAGGGTGGGTGCGGAGGGTGGAACAGTGTTCCCCGAAGTTCGTGTCCGTGTCCAACTTCAGAACGTGATCTTATGTTGAAATAGGACGTTTAAAGATGTAATTACTTAAAGAGCAGAATGAAATCATCCTGTGTCAGGGTGGGCCCACAGCTCCAATGAGAATGTCCCCGAGAGAGACAGGAAAGGACACAAAGACACACGGGGGAAAGGCCACGGAAGATGGCGGTGGACTGGAATGATGGGGCCACAGGCCAAGGAGCCACAGCAAGCTGGAGGTGGCAAGGAAGGGGCCTCCCCTAGAACCTTCAGCGGAAAAAGGGTCTTACTGACACCTTGACTTCAGTCTCTAAGCCTCCAGAACCGTCAGAGAATACACTGCTGTAGTTTTAAGTGACCCAGTTTGTGGTCACTGTCGCAGCCACCCTAGGGACGCAAGACTAGGGTCTCTGGTCCTGAGGCTCGGACACGCAGGTCAGAAGGGCACGTGCCAGCAACATTCTGAAGAGTTTTGGTACATGTGGCACCAGAGCGGCTGCCAGAAAAGCGAGGCCAGTTAAAGGGCCAGCACTAAGAAAAGAGAGTACTTGTTTTGGGCAAATGTGTTTTGTTTTTTGTTTTATTAATGCAAATTCTTAACGGGTATGACATACAAAAAGGCACACGCTTTGTAGGGAAAGCATCACCTTCTCAACAAATGGGGCTAGAACAATTGGCTGTCCATTTGTAAAAGAATGGAGTCGGATCCCTAACTCACACCCTAAACAAGAACTGCTCGGAAAGGGCCATGGGCCCACGTGTAAAAGCTGAAATTCTAAAACCCCTTGAAATAAAACACGGGGGTGAATCTTTGTGCTCCTGCATTTCTCAGCGGACTCTCAGACACCATACCGCAGCACAAGCAGGAGAAAAATAGATACGCTGGATGTCGTCAGAATTAAAAACGTTTGTGCTTCAAAGGACGCCATCGAGAAAGTGAAACAATAAACCGCAGAATAGGAAAAAATACCTGCAAACCATACATCTGATGAAATGACTTTTGAAGAAGATCCGCAAATGGCCCACAAGCACATCAGGAGATGTCCTACCCCACTGGGCACCAAGAAAATGCAAATAAAGACCACAATGAAGTTACCACTTCATAACCACCAGAATGACTGTAATCAAAGGGCAGGTGACAAATATAGGTAGGGTTATGGAGAAACTGGATCTGTCACATGCTGCCGGTGGGAAAGCAAAACGGCGCAGCCGCTTTGGAAAACAGTCTGACAGCTCCTCAAAAGACCATCTGACTCAGCGATTCTATTTCTAGATATCTATGTGAGAGAAATCACAACGTGTTTCCTCACAAAGTCTTGTCCACCAACATTCACAGCAGCGTTGTTCACGATAGCCAAGGGGTGGAAACAGGCCAAGTGTCTGCACGAACAGAGACATCACCACCGTGTGGCCTATCTGTCCAACAGAATGCTGCTCGGCCTTGGAAAGGAATGATACTTGCTACCGCATGGATAAACCTTGGAAAGAGTCTGCCTGCTGGAAGAAGCCAGATGCCAAAGGATAGCACATTGCTCCATTTATACGAAACGTCCAGAGCAAGAGCTAGTGGGAATAAAGGGACAGAAGGGTAGCTGAAGAGGATGGGGCTTCTTTCTGAGGTGACAAGAATGTTCTTAAGCTGACCTGTGGTGACCACTGCACAACTCGGAATATACTAAAACTGCTGAACTGTACAACTTAAGTGAGCTTAGTGGTATATGAATT